TTTCAAGGACTGCTTTTTCAGAGGAAGCTTGCTAGTCCTGTCTTCCTTTCCAACCCTGAGTCGACTGACGCAGACAGCCTTTCAGATTACAGCCACACAGACGGATATGTAAAGAGATCATCCCTACCCTCTGATAATTTAAAATGTATTTTTACCGATAATCACATGGATGACTTAGATCTACAAAGCAGATTTCCCTTTACAAAAACAGCCTCATGTCAGTGTTTCATGCTGATCAACTTGGAGCCTAAAAGCCTCCAGGAATGGAAAGCTGTGCTGCCTCATGCCTGGCTCCCGGGCTTCCCATCTGCATCCGTTTCCGTATGTTTCCGATCCATATGGTTTTCCTATTGCAAGGCCTTTTTCTACGATTGCTTTTCAGTGACCCTTTATTCAAAGCATTCTAACGACTCTCTCACCAGGAGGAACATGGACTTGGCTCATGGCTAGTCTAAGTAAACTATTGCCCCAGGCAAATCAGTTTAACTGGAGAGTCGTGGATATATTGTTAGCTTGTTGATTTGGCTGATTATCTTAATATTCTCTGCCTTTCCTAATGCTCTTGTTCTACAATTCGTGTAAAAATGCCAATATTTCTAATTCTGTGTACATCGTCTCACTGTGCGAAAGGCAAGGCTCACAAATTAGCTCTCCTTTCCCCGGGAGAGCCTCTTAGTGACTTAGTGTGGTGTTCAGCAGGGTTCATTCCTCTGTAGTGTCATAGTTGCTTTGCCTTCAGAAAATTGCCTGGGTGATTGAGCTTTCTTAGATTTTGCATACACCAGCACTTCAGAATTTCTTCTCCTTAACTCTGTGGCTTCTAAAGTCTAGCACGCCTCTAATTGGCTTCAGGTTAACATCGTGAAAGATAGCATACTGATCACCTATGATGAGATATTCTCATACCAAAACTAGTCAGTAAACATGGCCCAGCAAAGAGAGTTGTGCAGCTTATAGGTGTGAGAGACTTCATGAAATTGTTCGTGTAGGTGCCAACACAGTGAAATGTCTGAGTCACTTCATGATTTGGGGGAAAGTCGATGTGAGGAGCCGGACACAGGACTGGAGCAATCTCTCAGTGGGTACTAAGCCCAGACCAAGGCTACGCAGGCCTGGAGGACCAGCTCTTTGAGATGGGCGTTTAGCTCTCTGCCTCTAAATGTACTCGATTTCCTTGACACTTCCATACTATCAAGTCAGAGCCAGTTAGTACTGTGAGCTTGAAGGACAGCCCTAAAGGGAAAATTAGAATATTCTTAATGTCATGCTCTAAGTACAGAATTGCCTTATTTCACAATGTTCCTAATAACATCGATTAACTGATTAATGATTGAGGGGAAAACCTTGGGTACTGAAAAATGATTTTTCTTCACATGTTTACCTAGAATTGGATTGATTATAATCTTTAATTCCAGAAATTATGTATCAGTTGCCACTTCCATTTAGTTAACTGAACAGTTAATTGGTACTTTTCAATGAGCTCATATTTATAGGAGAAACCACGACCTAAATAAAAACTCAGACCCGACCTATAATCTCTATTGACTCATGTCACCCTCACTGCATTAACCCATCCCCTGGTCAACAGCCTCTCGACTTCTGAATTCATCTCTTTGTTGCTTTCCATCTTACATAGTTTCTTTGAATCCATTTTTAATCCTAAAAATTTGGATGTTTTAAAAGAGTAGCTGCTTTTTAACATCATAAAAGGGGTATTTTATGCAGTACGTAATCTTTGGGGTTTAGATTTTTCACTGAATGATACACAGTGATAAGTTTCATTCATGTATTTGCTTGGATGTGAAGGGAGAAAGAATATTCTATCATATTTTGCTGCGCATCTTATCCATCGCATCTCCAGTGGATGGGCACCCTCTCCCACACTTGGTCTTATCGAATTTTGAAAACACTAAAAACTAAAAACTCACTGCGATCAAGTTGCTCCCAACTCACAGCAACCTAAAGGCCAGAGTGGAACCGCCCCTGCAGGTGTCCCAGCCTGAAAACTTTACGGGAGTAGAAAGCCTCGTCTTTCTTCTTAAAACAATCAAGGAGGAGAGTCCAACGGTATTTCACTAGAATGACTTGAATTCGACTTGAATTGGTCACTAATACTTTTGACCATTTCTTCATGGGACAAGTAGCCATGTGTTTCTTCCTCTCTCATATAATCCTCTTGGATTATTTATACTCTTCTTGGTATAACACACCTTGAGTCACCAAGGTACGCTGGAATTATTAATGCCATCACCATCATTCGTATTAATCATCAGTTATCATGTTTAATGCCCCAGTTTGCACATGACGTTTGTGTAGGCAAACGACAAGATTAGAATGAACTCATCAGGTTCTGTTAAAAGACTCATTTAATCACGCCACGCAGTGAAACCATCGTTTCCCTCCAGAAAAAAATGTTTTTATCTAAAGGCCTAAGATTCTTCCTTAAATGCACATAAGAAACATGTACTCAGTTCCCCACCATCCCAGGTTGTGATCTGTGATCCATTGCTCACTCAGATGACTACATCCTTCACTGTCGTCTGTTCTCTTTTTCAGTGCCTGACAAGGTCCAGGGCGTCAGTATTAGCAACTCAGCCAGGAGTGACTATTTGAAAGTCTCCTGGGTGCATGCCACTGGAGACTTTGATCACTACGAAGTCACCATTAAAAATCAAAACAACTTCATCCAAACCAAAAGCATTCCCAAGTCTGAGAACGAGTGTGCGTTCGTGAAGCTAGTCCCTGGGCGGTTGTACAGTGTCACAGTTACAACAAAAAGTGGACACTATGAAGCCAGTGCACAAGGCAATGGGAGAACAAGTAAGTGGGATGATCGCACAATGGGCTGGCGCATTGGGCCGGGAAGGTCAAGTAGCTATGTATCTGAACCTGGAGGCTCCTCTGCTCCCTGCTCAGTAAATTATATGCCTGCTAAGCCTCACTTGGAGCTAGCACCATTCTGCCACACGGTGGCCTATGCTTATGGAATATTTATGGGTAGGTGAAAACAAACCTGGGAGGGAATTAGAAGGCCACGCATCTCATCTCTCTTCCTGCCCTCTTGCATTTGGGCTCCAGAGTCCTCAACTTCTTGTTTTATCTTCCGATTGAGAGTATAACTCATTTTCTAATTATATTCTCCCACCAGTTAGCATGTAAGATTTATGTCAGGAAAAAAAAATACATTTTTAATAGTTGCTTCCAATTTTCCTTGTTTAATTATGCATGAAGTCGTTGGAGCGGCTTACTGGGGGAAGCAAGATGTCTGCCAGTCTCCTGAAAGGGATTCAGAAGGTATTGTGCAGATACACCCTGATCCCTCATTCCCCCTAGTCCTCATAGCTTCTCGCTCTCCTTCCTAGTCCCGGAGCCCGTGAAGAACTTGACACTGCGGAATTGGAGTACGGAGGAGCTACAGGTGACTTGGACAAGAGCTGATGGGGATATCGACCAGTATGAGATCCAGCTGCTCTTCAATGACCTGAAAGTATTTCCTCCTTTTCACCTTGTAAACACTGCGACTGAGTATCGGTTCACCTCCCTAACACCAGGGCGTCAGTATAAAATTCTTGTCTTGACCATCAGTGGAGATGTACAGCAGTCAGCCTTCATTGAGGGCTCAACGGGTAATTTGAACTATGGTTCTTGAACTTGAGTAGTGGTCGTGGCAAATGGAGCACATAATCCACACATGCAGACTGAAGATTTCGAGGGGGGGGGAGCAATGGCCGAAGGCACCCTGATTTTAACTATGCCAAGGAAGTTCTGTTCGCTGGATTAACCCAAGTATGGCGAGGGGAGGAAGGTTAGGGATAGCACAGAGAACTCACGGTGCACTGCTGTGGGTAGCTGGTGCTTGTAAGGTATGCCGATGAAGCCTGAAAAGCTCTTGGGTGGGGTCACATCCTGAAGCTTTGTTGCGAGTGTTGCTGTCATAGTGAAGATGAGCAGTTAGTTCGCCCATAGCATGTCCTTTTGCTCAGCTCTCGCAACTCCATTGTTCCCATTGCCATGTTGTTCTGACGAGGAAAGGGAACCTTAGAGATGTGAGTTTGCTTACGGTCCCACAGTCAGGAAATGTGGAAACCAAGACTAGACCAAGGCCATCTGAATAGTCTGTAACTGTCTTACTGTGCAGGCTTCTCCCTCATCACTGACCTCGCTCTCCCGGTAAACGCTCCCAACCGAGCTTTCAGGCAGAAAAGCCAAGGCATATGGCACGTTGATGCTTCTCGCCAGGGGTGTGCTCTGCATGGATGCTGAAATCCACAAAGCAAGAAAACATTAAGCTGAAAATGCCCACAATTTGCGCACTAAGTGATGGCTTATAAATTTGTTGTTGTTTTTCTTTTAGTTCCTAGTGCTGTCAAAAATATTCACATTTCTCCCAACGGGGCAACAGATAGCCTGACAGTAAGCTGGACACCTGGTGGGGGAGATGTTGATTCTTACCTGGTGTCGGCGCTCCGGCAGAATCGGAAGGTTGAGTCTCAACCTGTCCCCAAGCACCTGTACGAGCACACCTTCCACAGACTGGAGGCCGGGGAGCAGTACCAGATTGTGATCGCCTCCATCAGTGGGTCCCTGAGGAAGGAGGTCAACGCCCTCGGGCGGACAGGTAAGCCTCCACCGCGGAGAGCCAAAGGGGTTCGTGGCGCTGCTATGACCGCGCGATCGCGCGATCAATGGACGTGGTCCTTGGTCCCGATGGCAGCGGTCTAAATCCAGCAACCTCTAAATGTGCACAGTTCGCTGTGGTTTCAAAATCCTTTCTCTTGTCCTTTTTCATCGTTCGTAATAAGATTTTCACAGTAGACCTTACTGTAGACACCACGTCGTTCTGGTGGAATCCCCACTGGCCCAAAGATAGGCTGCTGTTCTTGCTAGGTGTCATGGAGTTAGCAAGCAACCAGAAGTCTACAGTTTTCCAGTGTGCACCCAAGTCCTTGTAGCCAAAAGATATATGCATGTGCCCTCTATGAATGAGTAACGTATCCATATTTTTAAAATAAGCTACAAGCACCTGCTGTATGCCAAACAGTTTAAATGATCTTTAGCCTACAAAGTAGACATCACATCTCCATTTTCCAGAGGAGCAAAGTAAGACTCAGAAAGTTTATGAAATATTGCCAAGGATGCACATAATGACACATAGAGCTATAATCCAAATTTCCTTAGACCTGTCTTCTCTATGATGACATAACAGGTCTTGGATGCTTTTCATTCTTGTGACTATCTATTTAGTTGTGCAGCTTGTGGCCTCTTTCCTATGCCCCTACTATGCCTTGGGTACACACACACACACACACACACACACACAATTTCCAAATTCTGAATAGTGAGGCATATGGTTGGGTACATACCATATATGAAGCTAACAAGACAGACACATCCCTGCCTTCAAAAAGCTTTTAATCTAGTGGAAACCGAGAAGCTCTAGATAACTTCAGTACTGGGCTGGTAAATGCCAAATAAAAGTAATTATGGAGGACTACACAGAGCCCTGGTAAGGGAGGAGGCTGCTAACCATAAAGTCAGCAGTTCTTACCCACCAGCCACTCCACGAGAGCATGATGAGGCTCTCTGCTCCTGTAAAGATTTGCAGCCTTAGAAACAACAGAGCAGTTCTCATGGGCCCTAGAGGGTCACTGTGAGTCAGAATCATGGCAGCGGAGGCAGGAATGAAAAAAGAGCCCCGGTGTCCCAGTGGCTAATGTAGAAAGGTTGCCGGTTTGAATCCACCAGCCCCTCTGTAGGAGAAAGATGTGCCAATTCTGCTTCCAGAAAGATTTTCAGCCTTGGAAACCCTGTGGGGCAACTCTGTCCTCTTCTGCAGGGTTGTTAAGAGTCGAAAGTGCCCCACGGCAGAAGACTTGGGTTTAGTTTAAAAGCAAAAGAGCAAGAGCCAGGGAAGGCTTTGGTGTAGTGGCTTACACATTGGGCTACTCACCACTAGGACAGCAGGTGGGAGCTGCCAACCCATCCACAGGCGAAAGGTGAGGCTTCCCGTTCCTGTACAAATACAGAGCCTCGGTACACCACAGGGGTGGTCCTACCCGGTCCTATGGGACACTGTGAGTTGTAATTGACTCAAGGGCAGTGAGTCTGGTTTGGTAACTTTTTAACTGAAACTACCATTATCTAGGTGAAATATAGGTTGACTTGGCTCCAGCAGGAGAAAAAAAACCACACCTAGAGGTGAGAGAAAATATTGCACATTTGATGAGCTACTTTCTATTTAATATGTTAGAATCAGGAACGAGAGCCATCAGTCTGGTAAGTAGATGGACTAAATCACAAAACGCCTTGGTAAGGTGCTTAGAATGATATAAAGTCAGTACAGAGCGATCAGCATGAAACTTCCAGGGAGCAATGCAGAATTTCGTGTGGAGTTTGAAGCAGCGGGAGGTCAGAAGCCAAGGGACCAGTCAGGAGGCTGTTGCAACAATGTCCATGAGAGACGGTATTATCCTGGGATGCTCTTGGCGGAGAAGAAGAGAAGTGGGTGGATGCAACAGATACTTGGAAAATTCAAGAGACAGAAATGAAAAAAAAAAAAACACCTCGTGTTTGATAATAGGTACAAGATAGCCAAGGGTTTGTTTTTTTTTTAGTTTTTAGTTTTATTGTTTTTAACTTCAACTATGAAAAAAGAACAGTCACATGGAGGTTGGAGAGGATTTTTGAGTTGTGGTAGTGTTAGCTGACTCAGTGACCGGTGTACAGCAGAAAGACACGTTGTCCGATTAAGTGCCATCTTCTTGATCCTTGGTACGTTTGAGTCAATGGTGATTGTTACTGTGCCAATCCATGTGGCTCCCTGTTATTTTCAAAAACAAGAAAGATATGTCAATTGGAAGTTTGAATTGGGGGGTCACCTCCACATGGATGACAGTTCAAACCTGGGAGTGGATGCAATATCCTAAAGAGATTATGTAGAATGTGAAAAGAACATAAAAGCCATTGGCAAGTAAAAAGATGCTGCCTTTCATGTCGAGAGTCCTAGGACATATATACCACAGCTTCAATCAGCGGTTCTCAACCTGTGGGTCTCGACCCCTCTGGGGATCTAACGACCCTTTCACAGGGGTCTCCCAATTCATAACAGTAGCAATGAAAATAATCTTATGATTTGGGGGTCACCACAACATGAGGCACTGTATTAAGGGGCCGAGGTATTGGGAAGGATGAGAACCACTGGCTTGGATCAAAGCTTGAAGGTTTGAGTATAATTGGAAATAAAACTCCAAACAAGAGACATAACATGGTTCAATCAGTTAAACTGCCTTCATTGAGTGTAAGTTTGTTCAGCATTCTTTCTTGTTCTAGATACGTAGATCTACACCACTCTACGTATGTATCATGCAATGGAGGTAGAATCTCTTGCTATAATCATAACCAGGTTTCCACAGACTGTCTCGATTGAGAGAGACTAAGTAGAAAGGCCTGGGATCTAATTCTGAAAACCAGCCAATGAAAAGCCAAGTTGTACCACGAATCAGCGGTCAAGCTCACAGCAGCTAACTAGTCACATTTTCACTGATGTTTGCAGTCACTGGACTTCAAAATTATGTCTAACTTCAGAGGAAAATGGAGAATATCAGTTTTATGCAGATCATTCAAGCCAGGAAATAGCTTCTCCTCTTTACTCCATAAAGGTGCACCTGAAAGCGTCGATGTGACACAAATAAAACGGGGCTATGGCAACAAAGCGTGATCACCTATCACAGTTGATTCCGGAGTGATTTCCTGAGCTGCTTCTCTTTCTTCCAGTTCCAGCGTCTGTCCCAGGAGTCACAGCGGACAATGCCTACAGCAGCCATTCTCTAGTAGTAACTTGGCAGAAAGCTGTTGGGGTAGCAGAGAGATATGATCTCCTGCTTCTAAATGAGAACAGCGTTCTTCTCAGCAACACGTCAGAGCCTGCCACTGCTCGGCAACATAAATTCGAAGATCTAACACCAGGAAAGAAATACAAGATACAGATCCTAACCGTCAGTGGGAGCCTGTTTAGCAAGGAAGTGCAAACGGAAGGCCGAACAGGTACTAGTACCCCTTCTTATGGCGTACCGATTGCTCCGTGGCTGCTGTTTCATAAGCTCGCGGGCTCAGAGGGATCAAGCAACTTTGGGAGGTGATGTGTATTTCTAGACACGGTGCCATTCACTAACTTATTACTTCCCCATCAGGTGGCATCTCCTAGGTACACAAACTTCACCAAACACCTCAAGTCAGGTTTATCACTAAAACAGGCTGCGTTCGTTTCCTCATGTTGCTGAAATTGTGATAAACTTATTTTGATTCTTTTACACTTCTCGAGGTCAGAAACTCAGAAAGGGCCTGACGGAGCTAAGTCCAGGTGCTGGCAGGTGATGTTCTTTCTGGCGGCTCTAGGGGAGAGTCTGTCCTTCTAGAGGTTGCCCGCATTCCTTGATGCGTGGCCCCTTCCAGCAGCGGCATCTCTCTGCTTCTGCCATCTCTCTCTCTGACTCTTCTGCTTCCCCACCCATCTTTCAAATATCCTTGGAGTGACCTTGTACCCGCTCAGACAATCCTGGACCGTTTCCTCCTCGCAAGGTCTTCAATTTAATCGCACCTGTAAACACCCCTTTTGCTAATAAAGTGAAAGTAACAGGTTCTAAGGGTTGGGTTACAGGCATCCGACAGGCCTACCTGAGGGGGTTTCATGAAGTATCTCGGCCTGAAGGAGACGTGGACAGGGACGTAGAGATGAGTTAGACAAGCTTCTTCTCTTCGAAAGCTGACTGTCTCCTGGAGGAGAAGCGCATCGACAGAGAGTGGCCGCACACTGGG